ATAACATTATATATATTTATTTAATATCATATTATAAATTTATAATTTTATGTTGTATTAAAGTTATATCGTAAAAAAACCAAAAAAAAAAAAAATTATTCAGGGGAATTGCCGAATTGGGGGAATTGGGGGAAATTACCAAATTATCACATTCAATAATTTTGGTTGGTTTGAAACCCCAATGAAAAGCCAAAAGAACCAAGATTTCTGGTTCAACCATTTAGCCGTATGGTCAGTTCAAGGAAAGTTCGAGATTAACCCCAGAGAATTGAACCATGTTTATCAATTGGGCTTGTAAAAAAATTTAGGTAAAAAATACTAAAAATTATGTAATTTCTATAAAATATTATAGAAATAACTATAACAATTAGTTTAGGTGATTGATATTTATTAATTTAAAAATATTAATTTAAAATTAAAATCAAAAGTTAAAATATCTGTAATACTAAATAATTAATTTTTTAATATATAAAAAAATATCATATTCTTATTTTAAAAATTAAGATATTTTTGTTTTTATTAAAGAGAATTAATTAAGACAACACAGATTTAAATTTTTTTTACCTAATTTTTTAAAATACAACTCATATACATATTTTTATTTTTATTAAAATTGAGACGTATTTAGTAATTTAAAATTTTGTCAGTTTAAAAGGGAATTAGGAAGTTAAACGTTTGGCTGTGTCATGGTTTTGGTGAAAATGGACTATAAATTTTTGGGTTTATACCCAAAAAGGTAAAAGGAAAACATAAAAACATAATACTTTTGTTACAACCAATTTTGATTTTTAGATAAAAAAAATCAAAATCAATTTTGATTTTCTAATTATTTTGAAAACAAAACCAATCAAGAACAAAAATTTTAAGATGAAATTGTAAGAGGGTAACAACAATATATGCATAAACACTCTGATTGTCCCTGCCAGGTCATTCCAATTGCCAACAACACTAAACAGAGAGCGGCATGAAGTCAAGGGATAATAGATCCTTTCCTTCCTTTAGCTGCCAGCATTTTGCAAGCCGCTAGAAGAGAGCATCGCATCAACACTAGCATAGGCTAAATTAAGCTTCAATACAACACTGAAGTGGGTCATAAAGATTTTCTTTTAATTAAACTCTTAATATTTGAAAATTACAATAGTCCAGTTTATTTGAAATCAAATCCAGTCCACTCTATAGGGGAGAAAATTCTCTTTTTATATATAAAACTTCAACTTTTTATATACAAATCTTAAATTTGAAATTTTATTTTAAAAAAATTAAACTTCTTATTTTAAATCAACAAATTATTAGTAAAGGGCCATCCCCATATACGTCCAAAAATATAAGACTTTTTTTTTATTTGGTTGAGCAAGGGTAATTTTAGGGGAAAAGGAAAGAAAATAGTGCCAACCCATGCCTGGAGAAACATCAATAGCACATAAAAGACAAATGCAAATATTTAATATTCAGTGAGACTCGAGCTATTGATCAACTCAATTTAAATACTAAAACTTGATAATTAACCCTTAGATCTTAAGGCCAGTGAAAAAGAAAAAAAAAAAAAAAGGCTCATGTAGAAAGATTATTGATAAATATATACGTACAGAGTGATGGATTTTGTTTGAATAATCTCGGCAACCCCAAA